TAAGGAGAACAATCCATCTCTGGGTCCCTAGTAGCCCTAGGAGGGTTTGGACTCTGGTAGAGGTTTCCGTCAAGGCTCACATTCACATATCCTTTATCATAACTCACCATCACCACCCACGGACAGATGGGTTGCTAAGGAAACAAAGGTGTTTGGGGGATGCCTGAACTTTTGAAGTTGAGGACAAGGGACCAGCTTGGGTTAGTGGGTCCAGGGCAGTGCTTTCCAATAGGACTTTCCACGGTGATGGAACTATTTTAGCAACCTGCACTCTTGAAATACAGTAGCCACTGGCCACATGTGGCTATTGAGCACTTGATTGTTACAGGCACAAATGAGGAACTAAACTCTTTATTTTATTTAACTTTCGTTAATTTAAATCTAAATCTGGACAGATCTAGAGTATCCGTTTCAGACTTAACGGACTTGGATTTTAGTCCTGCCTCTGACTTTAACTCATCTGTGTGATCTTGGACAAGTGTCTTTCCTTCTCTGATCCTCTGTTTCTGACTCTGTAAAATGAAAGATTAAATTAGAACAGAAATGACAAATATGTTTCCTCTGGCACGCCAGCCTTCATGGATTGCTGATGGCCGCCTGGAGCACAGTCTGGAGGAGAATTCTGACTCCCCGTATGGCCTGGGAGGAGGAATGCAATGTCTGAATGAGCCCTGTGGTGGATCCTGATGGGGTGCTGGGAGTGTTGTCGGAGCCAACTCAGCTGAGCCCCTCTCTAGGATTTGCCCTTGAATGAAAGGGTGCTGCCTCACTAGTCAATGCGTGGGTCTAAGAGACAACTCTGCACAGGACATTCCAGCTCTGGAGCTCCCAGTAGGATGCCCTGGGGCCTTTGTTACACGTACATCATAATTCAACTTCTCCCCTGTCCCATTCTGCTTCCCTCCCCCTCCACAGCTGTTGATCCTGAAAGCATCTCCAGTAGATTTCCTGCATGGAAATCTCCATCTCAGAGTCTACTTCCCAGAGAACCTGGTTCTAAGACAGCACAGTGATGGGGGGGTGGGCTGAGGTGGAGAGAGTGGTGGTACTCGGGCCATGAATTTGCCACCTAGGGCCCAGAGAATTTATAAATTGGGTTTTCCCACAATGGCCACTGGTACCTATACTGAGTGACAAAAAACAGCCCAGCTACTGTCCTGCTTCTAGGAAACTATATTCCCACCTGAATCTAGCCTCTGGGGCTGCTGTCGTTAAGGAGAGGCCAAGCGTGAAAACCAGGGGGAAAGCCCACAGTTCACTCCTCTCTGATGGTTCTCTCCAGCTTCTGCCTTGCCCAGAAGACTGTGAGACTGCTCTGAGTTCCCTGACATGTTGGCAGGCCCCAGGGAGCTTTGGAAGGGCAGAGAACCAGCTGACATTGACAGAAGAGACAGCCCTGGGAGGAGGGGACTCCTGGAAGCATAAGTCACAAGCCACTTGTCAGAGCTTCTCTGCCATGTGGGACAGAGAGAGTAACACTAGCGGGGTGGAAGACAAGTCTCTTGGTGGACACATTTGCTGGGTGTGTCTGCGTGTGTTCCAGGTGCAAGCAAAAGGTACATTACAAGCATTATTTGGTTTAATTTGTACAACCCTATATGTGTTAGGGACTCTGATCCCATTTTATAGAGAAGACTGAACCACAGTTCAAAAAGAACTCTCACCCGAGATTGCATAACCAGTAAGTGGCACGGCTGGGATTCAAACCCAGAACTTTCTGATTCTGATGCTCACCTTCCTTTCCTACCCCTCCCATGCCCTACTGCTGTTGTGATTGCCAAGCCAGAGGCTCACATTCGTCAGAACATCAGAGCTGGATGGGCCCTTAGAAACCACCCAGTTCAAGCACATGGCTAGGAGGTGCTAAGCTATGTGCCAACTCTGATCCCCGGGTGGTAGCTGATTAAAACACTGTGTCGAGAAGGATTCTGAGGTTGATTCCCAAGAGTGCCATGATCAATTAGTGACAGCTGCCATGGCAGGGGTATGTGTGGCAGAATATAGATCTGGTCTTGGTCATCCCAGAACTGATCCAACCCCCTCACTTCACAAATGGAGAAACTAAGGCCCAAAAAAGTGATGAGACTTAAGTAAGACATAGGTTTGGATGGTGGTAGAACTAGGATCAGAATTTGGGCAACCGATTCTTCCCATTGTCTCCCAAGGTCAGTCTGCTTTTTGTGCCTTCTGCCTCAGATCTTGGCAAAGGAGCTGCTTGCTGTACTTAAGCTCAGAAATATTCACCTCTGGTGACATTCAAATTGGTGGTGAGCCCTCAGAAGTCACGGGTCTCAGAGCCACCTAATGCCCCCTGTATCACTGAACTGGGATTAGAGCCCTGATAGGGCAATCTATGAACTCAGAGAGAAACTCAAAGAAGTGTTCGGCACTCGAGTCTGGGCCGCAGGGCCCGCTGGAACCGAGCAGAGATCACAGCCTGACCTAGGCACTTTCACCCTCTAGGGCTCCATTTCTCATCTGTCAACCAGATTGTTGTAGGGGGAATTCCCAGGGACTGGAACAAAACCAATGTGTTTAGTCTGTGGCGCTGATTTCGAGAAAACGTTTGCTTTATATTCGTGCTTTCTCTGCAATTGCTGAAAGATTTTTACTTCACTGTCCCAAGGGGAATCAATTTTTGCTATCTCCCTTCCTCCTACCACATGGAGAAAGGGAAAGATGCCATAAAGACATTTCAAAAACCAGATGGGCACCAACTTGAGCAAGGAAACAGATTAGTCAACCAGAGAAAGCTCTGATGAAAGCTGAGCGTTGGCAATGGGCTGAATTCCTATCACAGTGCCTGGAAGAGCTTAGAGGATGTTTGCTGAATGAATGAATGAGTGAACGAATCACTCAAAGCCTACCTCCTCAAAGAAGCCCTGCATGGCAACCCTATTTAAAGTAGCTCACTTCCCCTTCGACCCAGTCACTCTCTATCTTAAATCCTCCATGTAATTTCTTTTTTTTTTTAAGATTTTATTTTTTTCCTTTTTCTCCCCAAAGCCCCCCAGTACATAGTTGTGTATTTTTAGTTGTGAGTCCTTCCAGTTGTGGTACGTGGGATGCCACCTCAGCATGGCTTGATGAGTGATGCCATGTCCACACCCAGGATTCGAACCAGTGAAACCCTGGGCCGCTGAAGCAGAGCGCGTGAACTTAACCACTCCGCCATGGAGCCGGCCCCTAGATTTAATTTCTTTATAGCATGTACCAATATCTGAAATGATCTCTCCAAAATGTATGTGTTTATGTTCTGCTTCCCTTCATTAGAACGTAAGCCTCGTGGGGCTGGCCCCGTGGCTGAGTGGTTAAGTCTGGACACTCCGCTTCAATAAAGCTGAAAAAAACAGAAAGAAATACCATACTGTGAATGGCCACTACTACGAGGTAAGGAAAGTCCAGCTAAGCAAGGGATGGCTAGTGCTTTACCCAGCCAAAGACGTCGAAGTGGTTCTGGAAACTTCGGTGGGTTGTGGTGGTAGTTTTGGTGGGAATAACAGCTTTGGTCACGGAGGAAACTTCAGCGGTCGAGGTGGCTTTGGTGTCAGTCGTGATGGTGGTAGATATGGTGGGAATGGGGGTGGCTATAACGGATTTGGTAATAATGGAAGCAATTATGGAGATGGTGGAAGCTATAATGATTTTGGCAATTACAATTATCTATAAATTTTGAACCTATGAAAAGAAGAAACTTCGGAGGCAGAAGCTCCGGCCCCTTGGGTGGTAGAGACCAATACTTTGCTGAACCAAAAAACCAAGGGGACTATGGCCATTCCAGCGGCAGCAGTAGCTGTGACAGTGGCAGAAGGTTTTAATTACTGCCAGGAAGTAAAGCTTAGCAGGAGAGGAGAGTCAGAGAAGCGACAAGGAAGCTACAGCTTACAACACGTTTGTGAGCTCAGCCGAGCACAGTGGTGGCAGGGCTTAGCTGCTACAGAGAAGACATGTTCTACACAACACTCATGGGTAAGGGCGAAAAACCCTCAAGGACTGAATTCGTGACTAATTGTGTAACAGGTTATTTCAGTTTCTATTCTGCGTAAAGTGTAAAGCATTCCAACAAAGGGTTTTAATGTAGGGATTTGTTCTTTTGCACCCATGCTGTTGACTGCTAACTGTCGTAGTCTGGTCGTGATGCTGAATCAACGTGTCTTTAAAAGGAAGAAATCAGGGGCTGGCCCGTGGCCGAGTGGTTAAGTTCACGCGCTCTGCTTCGGCGGCCCAGGGTTTCGCAGGTTTGGATCCTGGGTGCGGACATGGCACCGCTCATCAAGCCACGCTGAGGCAGTGTCCCACATGCCACAACCAGAAGGATCAACAATTAAAATATATAACTGTACTGGGGGGTTTTAGGGAGAAGAAGAAGAAGAAGAAAAAAGAGAAGAAGATTGGCAACAGATGTTAGCTCAGGTGCTAATCTTTAAAAAAAATACAAACAAAAAGAAGAAATCAAGCAAATCCAATCAGACATCCATAGCCAAAAAGTGAACCTCAACATAAACCTCATACCTTATATAAAAGTCAAATCAAAATAGATCGTAGACTTAAATGTAAAATGTAAACCTATAACACTTTTAGAAAAAAAGAGTTAAAATTCAGTATCTCGGGCTTGGCAAAGAGTTCTCAGACTTGACACCAAAAAGCATGATTCATAAGAGGAAAAATTGATACATTGGACCTTACCAAATGTGAAAGCTCATGCAAAGATGAAAAGACAAACTACCCAGTGGAAGAAAACATTTGTAAACCACATATTTAAGAAAGGACTAGTATGTAGAATAAACAGAGAACTCTCAAATTCAGTAGTAAAAAACCAGGCAATCCAGTTAGAATATGGGGAAAAGAAATGAAGAAATCATCAAAGAGGATAGATAGATGGCAAATAAGTACATTTTCCTGTTCAACATCACTAACTATCAGGAAATGCAAATTAAACCCACAATGAAATATCACTACACATCTATGAGAATGACTAAAATAAAAAGTAGTAACAATACCAGAAGCTGGTGAGGAGGCAGACAATGTGGGTCACTTGCATATTACTGGTGGGAGTGTAAATGGTACAGCCATCGGGAAAACAGTTTAACAGTTTCTTTAAAAATGAACGATTCCACTACCATACTGCCCAGCAATAGCCCTCCTAGGCACTTATCCCAGAGAAATAAAAAGCTTATGTTTACACAAAAAGCCAGTATACAAATGCTCATAGCAACATTATTTGCAATAGCCCCAAACTGGAATCAACCCAGAAGTCTTTCAACGGGTGAACAGTCAAACAAACTGAAGTACACGCATGCCGTGGAATACATACTACTTAACGACAGAAAGGAACAAATTATCAATCCATTCATCAGCCTGGATGAATCTCCAGGGAATTTAGGGGAAAAAAGTCAATTCCAAAAGATTGCATACTGTATGATTCTATTCATGTAACATTTTTGAAACGACAAAATTTTAGAAATGGAGGACAGGTGAGTGGCTGCAGCGTTTAGAGATGAAGAGGGCACGTGGGAGGGAAGTGAGTGTGGCTACAAAAAGGAAGCCCAAAGGATCCTTGTGGTGTTGGAATGTTCTGTATCTTCACTGTGGTGTAGACACAGGAACCCATTCAGGTAATAAATTGTATAGAATTAATGCACTCACACACACAAATAAGTACAAGTAAAACTGGGGAAATCTAAATAAAATGAGCGGATTGTGTCAATGTCAGGATACTGGTTGTGATATTATACTATAGTTTTGGGTTTTTTTTAAATTGCGTGAAAATACACATAGCATAAAAGTTACTACCTTAACCATTTTCTTTTTCGCTTTTTTTTTTCTCCCCAAATCCCCCCAGTACATAGTTGTATATTTTCAGTTGTGGGTCCTTCTAGTTGTGACATGTGGGACTCCACTCCAACACGGGCTGACGAGCGGTGCCATGTCTGCACCCAGGATCTGAACTGGTGAAACCCTGGGCCGCCAAAGCCGAGCGCACGACCTTAACCGCTCGGCCACGGGGCCGGCCCCCGTTTTAACTGTTTTTAAGCACCCAGTGCAGTAGTGTTCAGTTCGTTCATTCACCTTGTCGTGCAACCAAACTCCAGGATTCTTTTCATTTTGCTGAACTGAAACCCTGTACCTATTAAACAATAAGTCCCTATTCCTCCTGTTTTATCCATGCTGTAGCCTGTCAGAATGTCCCTCCTTTTTAAGGCTGAATAACATTCCGTTTATATATACCATATTTTGTTTAACCATTCATCCATTGATGGGCATCTGGGGTGCTTCCACCTTTTGGCCATTGTGAATAACGCTGCTATGAACACGGGTGTACAAATACCCCTTCTGGCCCCTGCTTTCGATTCTTTGGGGTATATGCCTATACCATAGCTCTGTAACATGCTACCATTGAAGCACGCTAGAGATCTTTCTGTGTTATTTCTTACAATTGCATGTGAATCTACAATTATCTCAATAAAAATTTCAATTAAAAAATTCAAGCAAATTCCTCTCGTCATGTTAGCCCCTGCTCTGCAACCTTGAAACATCTTTGCACTTAGATGAGGAACTCAAGACTGGGAGAAGTAATTGGCTTGCCTGAGGACTCACATTAGTAAGTGCTGGATTCTAAAACCACATTCCGGGTGAGACCTTCTGTCCTGGCTCCTAACCCACCCGAGGACAGTTCTCCCTTCCTGGCTTCAACCCCATGCTGTTAGCCCTTGCTTTGTTTGTTTATATTTTATTTTTTCAAGTAACTTCTGGAAGGTCTTTGATTTCTCCAAAGTGCTTGGCACAGAGCCTTGTTACAGTAACAAGTCTGGAAAGCTTTGGGCTGGTTGCCAGGGTTTCCAGATGGCTGTGTGAGCCAGTCCTGTCTGCCCTTGAACCTCACCTCACCTCTCCCTCTCACTGTGCAGCCACTCCTGCCTTCTCCCAACTCCTCCTGCCAAATGCCTTCCCTCTGCAGGGCCTTTGCATGTGCTGTTCCCATTGGCAGGAAAAAGTTTTCTCTCTTGTCTTAACTCCTACTCATCCTTCAGATACCAGTTCATATGTCATTTCCTGGGCCAGGCATGTTACATGCGTGTAATTTTCCTTTATAGCACTTTTCACAATTACTTGTTTATTGACGCTCTTCCTCACTAGAGCATAGACTCCCTGAGGCCAGGGCCTGTGTCTCTCTGCTTATCATGTATCCTCAGTGCCTGGTCTAGAGCCTGCCATGTAGAAGGGCCTCAGTACATATTTGATGATTGAAATAATTCACGGGAAGGGAAATGCTTGGACTGGGAGATCTGAAGTTCAGGAATACCCTGGGGAAAAGAAGAACCTGAGAACTGGAATGGAAAGAAGGCTTACTTTCCACTCTACTCTTCTGAGTGGTCTGAATTGTTCATTATGTCCATGCGTTCATTGGAAAAATATTTTAATCAAAAAAAGAAAGAAAAGAAGAGGAGATGGAAGAGGCCTACCGGTAAGGAGGGGACATTTGAATTTAGATCTTTGCCTAGACTCTCTCCATGTACCCATTCCCCTCTTTCACTGGTGCTGAGGAGAGTGACGTCAGAAACAAGGGGTCCGTTGCCCTGGCAGATGTGGTCCTGCCAGTTGCTTGCATTGCCGAGCGGGAAGTTTACTCAACCAAAGACTCATGGGGAGAGATTTTCGATTCTAATTTTTCCTTATGCTTAAACATGGCACAATAGCCTGCCCTAGCCAAGACACGTTCCTTCCGAGCTTGTCATGTGTGCTAGCCAATACTCAGGTCATCTGGAGTCCCAAATCGTTCCGTCCTTTTAAAAATACTGGCCTTTATCTAGAAAGAAAGTCAGGGAGGAAGAGAGGGAGGGAGGAAAGGAAGGAAGGAAGGAAGAAAAGAAGGAAGAAAGAAAGAAAGAAAAAGAAAGAAGGAAAGAAAGATGCCCCTTTTGTCCTCCTTTTCTGCCTCTGAGTTGCTGTCAGAGGAGAGGGCTGGTGGGCCTTGCCCCCAGTCCCAGGACAAATTCTTTTTCTATTGATTCTGTGCTTTTTGGCTTTCCCCATGTGGCCACCTGTCTAAGGCCCTGCTTTGGCCACCTCAGGGAATTCAGGGCCAGGCCTAACTAGTCTGTATCCTAGCTACCTTGGAAAAAGGGAAAGGACCTGATGAGAGATGAGCTGGAAATAGCAGAGGAAGTGTTCGGTGAGGGAGCAGGCAGAGGTGAGCAGAGGCCACAGCTGCCTTTGTATATCAGCTGGAGAAGGTTTGTTGGAAAAAGCTAGAGCCTTATTAGAATAGTCTCTAGACTGAGATGACAGAAAGAGATTGATTAAAGAAAGGAAACAAATGTGTTGTACACCAGCTGCCAGGTGCCGTGCATCATGGTTGGCTGTTCCATGTACGTTAAGTCATCTAATCTTCATAATATTCTAGAGAGTGACAATTATTAACTCACATGGCAGACGGAAGAACTGGGGCCCAGAGAGGTGAGTGATGGAGCCAGGATGTAATCTCAAGGCTGCCCCCAAACCCGGTTCTTTCCCTGGGTACCCTGCGTCTCTCTAAGAGCTGATGCTCTAGCCGTATTGCCTGGATGCTCTGACCAGCCCTGCCTGTCAGGCATTAGCTCTAGTCTCCAGCAGGTAAGCTGCAAGTGTGGCTGCTCCACAGGCCATTAATTAAACCATTAATCAATCAACCGCCATGATATGAATTAATCAAGAGTTTTAACTTTGGATTTTGACTGCCTGGGTTTGAATCTGGGCGTTGCCATTGACTGGCTTGGTGTATTTGAGTCTTTTAGACACTTAAATGACCATCGGTCTTTCTTTGCCTCAAATTGTTCATCTGTGAAATGGGGATTAGGTTGTTGTAAGGATTAAGTGAGTTAATATATATAAAGTTAATAGTACGAAGTACTTAGCACAGACTCTGGCACATAGTTGGAGGTCTGTAAAGGTTAGCTATTATTTATTGACTACTACATGCTAGGCAAGGGGCTAGGGTTTGGAGATGAGCAAAACAAGGCCTACTCCTTGCTCTCTTTGGTCTCGTGCCGGGGGAAACAGTAAGTAAATAATCACACAAATAAACAGAAAAATCTGTGTGTGGGGGTACATAGCCCCTATGACTAGGTAGAAAGTTGTGATCTGAAAGATGGATGGGTAGATGCTAAAGAGGCAAGGAGGAGGGCACCGGGCTCCAGGCAGAGTGAAAGGCATGTTCCCTGGGCTCGGAAAACAGTACATCACTTGGGTTATTGAGATCCTTTGCGTTAGAATCCTCTGAGCCTGTGTGCTGGTTTCCATTTCTCAGGACAAAGTCACATCTTGAAAGCTGATCATGGAACCAAAGCCTTCGCAAATACCATCAGTGTCTCTACAAGATGAAGATCCTTTGCGGGCAGTAACAGGCTGATTAGTGCTGCATCCAAGGCGAGGGAGTGGTTAAAAGGGTGAGTTTTGGGTTAAGACCGAACTGGGCCTGGGTCTTCAACTCTTGGTGGGTTTCAGGTCACCTGTGGAGACTTTTTAATACGTCCCACGGCCACAGCCCAGGAAGTCCTGAGTTGGTGCCTTTAGGTGGGGTCTGGTAATCTCCATCTTCTCGTGCTTAGCTAGCGATGAAAGCCACAGAGTTCTCGCTTTGAATCCCGGCTCCACCACCCACCCGCTGGATGACCTTGTGCAAGTTATTCAACCTCTCTGAGACTCAATTTGTTCAATGAGAATACTAATATTTACTCTTAGGGCTATCATGATGATGAAGTCATATTAATACACGAGCCCTTGGCACATAGAAAACATTCCAAACATGGTACTCATTTTTATTAGCATTTTTGGTTAACAATGGAATATTCTTTTGGTAAAGTTGGCAGTGGGAGTGGTTTATTATGGGAATCCTGACCCACTGCAGGCTGCCAATGGCTCTCACACCAACTGCCAGGTAGATCAGAGAGATTTTCAAATTAAGTTCTTGTTCTTCCCTTCTCAGTTTCTCTTCTTCGAACCACTGATTTTAAGTGAACATAAGGGCACTTCAGCCTTAGGAGGATGTAGGGTAAGAGTGAATTTTTTTTAGGAAGATTGGCCCTGAGCTATCATATGCTGCCAATCCTCTTTTTTTTTTTTTTTGCTGAGGAAGGCTGGCCCTGAGCTAACATCGGTGCCCATCTTCCTCTACTTTATATGTGGGACGCCTGCCACAGCATGGCTTGCCAAGCGGTGCCATGTCCACACCCGGGATCCGAACCAGCAAACCCTGGGCTGCTAAAGTGGAACGTGTGCACTTAACCGCTGCACCACCGGGCTGGCCCCCTTCTACAAATCTTTATGGAGGCTTCCTGACTGCCAGAGACTGTTCTAGGTGCAGGGGTGGGGGATGGAGAGGTGGA